CTGCAAGCAGCTAACAGGTCGTTGAACGTAAAAAATTCTAATTTCGGCGGTAAATACGCAACGGCTCTTGGCTTGTATGCAAAACATTTTTTGGAAAGGACTTGGCAAGGAATAACCGGAAATTCAAAAGCTCTATATCCTAATTCAGAAAAGCCTGCTCAACCTATAGATTGGTTTACCAACGCCAAAACAAGACGTAAAGGTAATAAATAACGATATTTTAAACGAAAAAGCTTTTTTCGAAAGTTTAAACTTTTTTTGAACTTTGAACTTTTTGGTCCAAAAATGCTCAAAAGTCATTGCTTTACGTATATTTAGGTATCCCGAGTGTTTTCTGTAAGTTTAAAGCAAAAAAAAATTTTTGTTGTAAAATCGACCGAAAAAACGTAGGTAGTATATACTAGTCGTATAGTACGTTGATTTTCATATTTTGCACTAAAATGTTTAAAAAATCGTATAAAATAGAGTTTTTAAGATACAGACTCGGTACGTCTACACGTGGAAGGTCTTGACAATAGCTTACTTTTAAAATAATAAAATATTAAACTTTGAACTTTTTTGAACTTTTACTCAAAACTTTGAGCTTTCTTAAAATTTTTTATTTTTTTTTGTAGAATTGCCATTGGAGTCACATGTGGAAGAGAATTCCGAAAGAACAATGTCCGGAGCAGAACGAAGTGCAGCAGGATCTGGCGACAAACGTACTACTGAACAAGCTGGTCTCGATACTGGAGGAACTTCAGAAAAAAAACCAAATTATGGAACGGCAGAAGCCCTCACTGCTAGTACGACTATTCCGGGTATCGGTCCTAACGCTGACGCTGGTAACGCTTCTGCTGTCGATATGTTACACATGGTTATACCTCGACCCATTGATGATACAAAAAATAAGTACTTGGTTTTTTCAAAAAATCATGAATTTTTATCGTATGGAATACAATGGAAGCCTATTAAACATACTGGCAACTCATTTTGGGGAACAACATCTCTAGCGGAAATTCCAGTGGACAGGTGTCATTTGTACCTAACAT